GTTTCACTACTGTTTTGGTTAAATCACTGAACAAATCACTTTAATAAGTCTGCTATTTTAGTGAATCAATAAAACGACACAACCAACTCAGTAAAGCCTGGTTTATACTTCTGCGTCAAGTGACCGGTGTAACCCACGGCGCATGCAACGCGTGTGGCTGTGCATTTATACTTCTGTGCGCTGTCTCTGTTGGTCTGCATTAACACTTCCGAAACGCTAGTTGGGAGTGAGGAGTAAATGTTCCTCTGTGTCGAGTTTCTTCGCTAATATTTTGTTTTCCTGAACACTTCCGGGATGTACAATGGCTCAAACTCGCTCATTTTGAGGCAGGAACCAGCGGATGTGCAACAACTTTAACTATGAGGAAAACACAAAACAAAACTTTCCACCTGGAGCTCCTTAACGGGACTCCACACTTGTAAACAATCGCTCCATCAGGCTCGCACCATTCACGCGGCTATCGGTCCCACCCATACTCATCAGCGCTACCAAGTCGACCAATCACAGAGTTTGTGCTACGCGTTGTTGCGACGTGTAGTTACATTTTTTGAGAGGTGCACGTCAGCGATGCCGACGGCGTTTGACGCAGAATTATAAATCAGCCTTAAGATTCCCAAAAGAATCACTTTTCATTGATTCCGTCAAATGATTGAATGATCTCATGAGCGGGTTAATTTTTGTGAAAATATAATTTTTAACATAGCATACAAAAAAAAGAGTCCTATGAACTAGTATATTTTATTGATTCATAATTAACTAGTCGAGTTCAATTACCAAATTAGTCACTTTAGGTTTATTTTTCGACTCAGTGACCCAAACATAATCACTGTCAGAGTAGCTAGAATCCTCAACTAATCACTATAAGGAGTCAGTTCTTTTTAAGGAATCATGCAGCGCAACCAGTGTAGTTTGATTTCCAAACAGTTCACTTTAATGAGTCCGTTTATTTTATTGAATCAAATATTTCAAAATTCATTCATTTTTCTTCGCCTTAGTTTTCATTTGAGAGTTTGCCACAGCGGAATGAAATGCCGCACTTCAGAATTTCCAAATAAATCACTTTAGGTCAGTTTCACTACCATTTTGGTTAGATTACTTCACTTCAATGTGCTTGCATTTTATTTGAATCCCTAAAAAGACCAATGTCACAGTAGCTAGAATGCTGAACGAATCCATCTAAGGCAGTGGTGTCAAACTCAATTCCTGGAGGGCCGAAGCCCTGCACAGTTTAGTTCCAACCCTGCTTCAACACTTACCTGTAGGTTTCAAACAAGCCTGAAGGACTCAATAAGTTTGATCAGGTGTGTTTAATTAGGGTTGAACTAAACTGTGCAGAGCTGCGGCCCTTTTGGAACTGAGTTTGACACCTGTGCTCTAAGGAGTCAGTTCTTTTTAATGAATCATACAGTGCAACCAGTGTAGTCTGATTCCCAAATAGTTCACTTTAATGAGTCCGTTCATTTTATTAAATCCAGCACTTCAAATCTTCCAAATGAATCACTTTAGGTAAGTTTCACTACCATTTTGGTTATATTACTGAACAAATCTCTTCAAAGTGCTTGCTCTTTTAGTGAATCAAAAAAATGCAATGAAATCCTGAACAAATCACTGTAATGAGTCAGCACAATTATGGTAGGCCATTTCCCAAACGAATCACTGGGAGTTGGTTTAATTTTATTGAACCAAACATTTCACAGTTCACTTTGAGTCAGTTATTTTTAGTGAATCAAATAATTCTAAATTTCAGCATTAGATTTGCTTCAGTATTAATCATGTGTTTTGTCAACCATTGCAGTTTCTGTACGCTCTACCCCAGAATGAGGGTTATGAGTTTTTTGTGGGCCAGTGGGCTGGTAATGAGCTGCACTTCACATCTTTAATCAACGTTCAGGTATAATTTCTAAATCTTTTGTTAAAATTGCACATCATCTTCTTGCACCAATGCTAAAAATGCTTCGTATTTCAGACTATGGGAGAAAATGCGCCCAGCCAGCTTATTTTGTACCACTACACAGACCTGCAGAAGGACAAAGATATTGTTTTGATGACGGCTGAGATGGACAGCAAATTTGTGGTAAGTTGGATTAATTTACACAATATAAATAAGCAAAAACAAAGCAATGGATTCAATGTTATTGTAAACCTCTTTCAGACGGTCCACCAGGCGCAGTGTTTGGCCAATCAGGTGCAGCTGTTTTATGGATCGCAGAGGCTTGAGACTTTCCGATTGGTCGAGACCTTTAACCACAAACCGGAGGAGTTTAAACACATGGCTGTGATCGCAGAACTAGAACAGAGTGGAATTGGACCAGCGGTCACTACGAAGTAATCATCAAAAGACATTAATTATAAATTTTTTCTTATGTGGAACATCACCATTGCACAGAAACACAGTCTGGTGTGAGTCTCTGCTGCCGCATATAAAAACAATACAATATGTGTTTCAGTAGATATGCGTTATACGGACTCGTAGCATTCGCGCAACATGATTATCTGCTACTGTGTATGCAGATTCTGTGTATTATTACTCATTTGACTCCTGATGAATATCACTATTTAAAAAAAATTGAAAAACCTTAAAAATGACATTGCAATACATTGTTGCCTGCAGTTCTACAAATGGCCACTGGTGTCGCTATTAACAAGTGTCTGAATTCTAAATGTAGTTCTGCTAAAAACAATATAATAAATAAAAAATGTAATTGAAATAATTACAAATTTTATTAAAGAAATAATGCACAGAAATGTGCTAACTGTATTAATTTTATTTATTGTGTGTATTGTATTCGTTTGCATACTATTTTACGTTTTAATAGGACAAGCCCTATTATACTGGTTAAATGGTATTATTAATCTTTCTGCGTTTAGATTTTTCTGCATTGCTTAAACCAAGAATATTACACTTTACAACTATTTAATTTTTGGCAAATTAGTGCCTAATTTGTTTTATTTTATTTTTTAAAGATTCATTTTTGGCATTTTTTGCCTTTATTGTGACAGGACAGTAGTTAGACTGGGTGTGAGGTTCAGAGAGAGGAGATTCGAACTCAGGACATCTGAAGTGCAGCTGCCCTAAAGGCTATTTCAATGGCTAATTTGTAATACATACACTTTAATTTGTATGTTTACATACATTTTCGCACTGATGGTTAGGCTGAGGGGTTGGGTCTTTCATTTTTAAGTTTAACTAATTATTTAAAAATAAAAATAAAAATATTTCATTTAAATGGCTCCCATTCAAGTTTTTGGGTTGGGTGAAGGGCATCATCACTTTATAAGATCTATCATAAGTATTTTACATTTAGGCTAATTTAGCCAAAACGTACAATACTAACTATAACAACTATTTATGCAAATTTAATTTATAGCTGAATTATTAATTATTAGTTGAATATCATATAATAAAGCTATTTGACAAACAATATGCGTAGTGTCAGGAAAGGTTTGACTTTGTGCTTTATTTTTATTTGTTACGAATATAACGTCTTACTTATATAATATACTTACTTGTATATTAACATGATATTAATATCACAGTTATCTGTGGCCCAATTGGTTTTAAATTACATTTTGTTTCTTCAAATATTTTTTTCCTATTTACTGTTCAGAAATATATATTCCCTTAACATTGCCTCAGAAAGACTTGTTTCGAGTTTTGGGGGTTATTTTCAGTGAAAGTAATTTGTTAAGTCTAATAGGCGAATAACCAGTTTGTAAACATTCAGGATAAATGTGCAGAAAAAATCCGCAAGAATTTACAGCGAGGGAATTTCATCCGATGCTGTACAAAGTTTGTTGCTGTATTGGAGATGAGTTATATTGATTACATATATATTATTTACATAATGCTTTCAACAAATTATAACAGCTTGTCACCCACTGATAAGCACAGTTATTAGGCAAAATTAATGTTAAAGTGAGCAGGGTTCATCTGACAGGTCCATTTGCGATAGCACCCTCCCAATGGATTTTGGATAACATGAAATGGCCAAGCATCCTGTCCGAAATATACAACCATCTCATTGAAACTCCAAGGGATTTTACAAGAGAGATGTTAAAGGCCTACAAGTCTTTGGATGACTACAGTTTTGTTCTGTGTGGTCATGTGCAAGAAATAATGCTCCATGATTACCAGATTCAAAACTTTCTAGAGCTAAAACCAAGGTTCTGTCTAGCCAAAGACAAGGAGAGAAGATGGAACTGTACAAGACCTGGGTAATCATCAACAAGCAAAACAACTGCATTCTGACAGCGAACGGCACCTGAATGGCAGGGTATGTGAACTTACATTTTATATTTCATTCTAATCATTCAGTGTCCGCAGTTTAATTCACCATGTTTAACTGTTTTAGCTGAAATCATTGCTGCAATCAAAAATGAGTAATGTGTGTGATTCAGCATAGCGTGAACTTACCTGATATGAAATAAGAACTGCAGAGTCAAGCATTTTTACTTAGGTCCTCACTCCATTCAGCTCTTATGATGGCTGTCAGCTATCACAAGATGTCTGGTTGGCATTAAAAGCAGTTTGGCGTTCAGTAAATTTGTTCTCTATTTTTGAACTTTCGATTTTGACATCTTACCGCACAACATGACATGTTTGCTATTGTACCGGTGTGCTCCGTTAAACCTGTGTGACGTAGGTTGGTAAAATTCTCTTATAAGTTTTCCCTTTTAAATTTTTATGTTCGATGGATAAGCAGAAGAATTATTCATAACTCAAGGATGAATTTGTACAAATTCATATGATTTCATTCATATGAAAATATTTTAAAAAATTAATTTGTCCCCTCAAACATCATGTCTAAACCTGCCTCTCATTGGACGATGAGCAAATTGTTTACTAACAAGTTAGTTTAAATGATTAGTCTTTACTGTCATTATATACCCTATTAATCTAATCTCCTTTTGAATATTTTGCTTCTCAATGGAATTACTTAAGTGTATCTTAAATGTTCAAATAGATGATGGGCTCAGTGTGTTCATAAACCGGTTTTAACCGTTTACACTCAGCGCTGATTCAGACCCACACCGTAACGTTAGTAATAAACGCCGGTTATATTTGTTGCTGTCGCCCCACCCAACTATACACAGCGCGCTTTCAAACAAACCAACCAACATATCCACAGAAACCGCCATCATTAGCAACTCTACACGCTATTAAACCCGCTAAATCAGGCGTTTTGTCCGCGTTAAACGCCGAGTGAGTGAAGACGCGTCGTCAGGTGCTGCAGCGTCCATAAACGCCCACCTAGAAGAGCACCAGACGGAGCTGCGCGACATCCGAGGTGACTTTCTCCATCATATAACATTAATAACGCGTGTCTGTCGGTCATTGTCGTCCGTCAGGGTGTCGATAATATGTCGATAACAGTTGTGACAGAGCTCGCGTGTTCAGAATGATATCCTGAGATTATGCAAGGATGTGTCTCTGCTATGAATGGATGGAGCTGCCAAATGTCACTCGTTGATGAACCTGTTATGTTGATTTCTGGGTTGCTTTAACGATGTTGTCTACAAGCAAAACACTGTGAAATGAGACGAAGAAAAATGATGCACCAGTAGATCATTATCATGAGTTGTTTTGATGATGCATAGACCACAGCTGATGGTCATTTATTTATTTATTTACTTATTTATTTATTATGGTTGAGGTTTGAGCATACTTGCTGATGCTGAATCAGTCTTATTTGTAAAAAATAATAAATCATAACCTTTATGTGTGTGTGTGTGTGTGTGTGTGTGTGTGTGTGTGTGTGTGTAGTGTATATATATATATATATATATAGAAAGAGAGAGATTTAAACATGCAATAGAAAATAAATAGGCTTTATTTATTAATTTTAATTGCTATACTGCACTTTTCCAAAATATTCCATTTCATACACATTTTATAAATTAATTTATGGTTTTAATATGTATATCCTGATAGATTTCATATTTCTTACATGAAATAATAAAAGCAATAAATGTAAATTAATACATGTATTATTATTATTATTATTATACTGTGCTAAGTATTAAAAATAACTTGTGCATTTTTTATCAATAATTTTATTATGCATTTTATACAAATAAATATTTAATCATTTTATAGATATATGATGAAATGTAAAAAATAGATTAAAATAAAGAAATCAAATGAAGTACTTTAATAAATATGTATAGCATTCAAATTTATAAAATAAAATAGAGATAATATCATTATATAATAAAAACTAGGCTAAAAGTCATTAAATTTATAAAATTAAACATTTTAAATCATTAGACTAAATATGCGTGCGTGCGTGCGTGCGTGCGTGCGTGCGTGCGCGCGCGCGTGTGTGTGTGTGTGTGTGTGTGTGTGTGTGTGTGTGTGTGTGTGTGTGTGTGTGTGTAACAGAAAGGAAATTTTCACAGTATGTCTGATAATATTTTTTTCTTCTGGAGAAAGTCTTATTTGTTTTATTTTGGCTAGAATAAAAGCAGTTTTTAATTTTTTAAACACCATTTGAAGGACACAATTATTAGCCCCTTTTAAGTTAGTTTTTTCAACTGTCCACAGAACAAACCATTGTTATACAATAACTTGCCTAATTACCCTAAACTGTCTAATTAACCTAGTTAAGCCTTTAAATGTCACTTTAAGCTGTATAGAAGTGTCTTGAAAAATATTTAGTCAAATATTATTTACTGTCATCATGACAAAGATAAAATAAATCAGTTATTAAAGATGAGTTCTTAAAACTATTATGTTTAGAAATGTGTTGAAAGAATCTGCTTTCTTTTAAACAGAAATTGGGGGAAAAAATTAACAGGGAGACTGATAATTCAGGGTGGCTTATAATTCTGACTTCAACTGTATATAGAATATAATAATATATATTTTTTATTTAGTTACATTAATTATTGTTGTTGTTATTTATTAATTAACAGAGTTGATTCTATTTTGTCTTCTTGCTCAAAATGTGTTCTCCTCTGCACTGTATTAACAGATGGCAAAAGCAGACCAGCGCTTTGGTCAGAGAGATGGATCTGATCAAAACTTCGACTACATGTTCAAACTCCTGATCATCGGCAACAGCAGCGTAGGAAAAACCAGCTTCTTATTCCGATACGCAGACGACTCCTTCAGCAGCTCGTTTGTCAGCACAGTCGGCATCGACTTCAAGGTGAAGACGGTGTACAGAAACGACAAGCGAGTGAAGCTCCAGATATGGGTGAGTCCAGGTTTGCAGCATGTGAATGAAAACCATGCTATTTTTAGCCCCACATCCTTTGTTGTTCAAATGTGATTGGCCGACATCATTTACATTATTATTACAAATCCTCATCCTGCTAAATTATGTAAAACAAAAATCTTCCTTCTGCAATCACCTTCCAGCAGGCTGTGAATAAGAGCCATGTTTTTTTCTGGAGGAATAGAAAGCAAGCAGCATCTTTTCTTTCCCCCCTCCACATGCATCATCATGGGCGCTGGTTGGCATAGAGACAGACCCTCTCAACCAATCAAAACCGCCCCTGAGGGTTTGGGGGGAGGGACAGAGCACTGGGTGACAAGTGTGACACAGCCACAGTTTGTGATCATTCATAATCTGCGTGCATTGATTGTGAGATGGTAAAAATAGGCTCTCATTCAAAACAGCTGCGGGGGGAAAGTGCTGCCACGTGGAACCAAACGAAAAGGCTTTTGAATAAAGACATGCTCATAATGGAGAAATGAGAGCAGTAAAGCATGCATTTAGGTTCTCTTGCTCATGTTTTGGGATGTGGCGTTTTAATGAAGCATTGGAAGTTATGATATAACACATTGTTAGCCACCAGGATTTATATATTTATTTGCATCTTTCATCTTTCTTAGTCGTTTTTAAAATTAATCAATTATTTTTAAATAATAAATGATAACATTTGTGTAAATCATTTATGTCAAATCATGTAAACATAACAATAAAGCTATTATGTTGAGACTTTTAAAAATAAAAGTACAATTAAATATATAAAATATTTTTTTGAATTCATAAAAATTATGTATCTCCATATTTTTATTTCATAATAATATTTAACTATATGCAATGGATATTTTAAAATAGTCTGTTCTGTCATTTGGTTATATAGGCCTACATAAACCCTTTGCAATTTGTTTTGATCTAAAACAAATTGATCTAAAATACAAATTAGGCTGTGAGAGGGCAGATCTTCCCTTCTTTATAGTATGTAGAGAACAGTAGCATGTCCCAATACATACAGTGGTATTCAAAGCTCCTCAGAAGGCGTAAAGTACGCAAATGACCTACTACTTGCAGAAACTTAATGGATGGCAATTTATGGATACTATACTATCCCATGAGGCTACACGAGAATTTATGAATGGAGCAAAATGGTGCAAATGATGCAGATAGGTCACGTTATTAAAACATTCTAATGTTATCTCTCGATCGAATTGCCATTATCAGTGGTTATTAGCTGATTGACATGGGCCAGTAGGGGCCTTCTGCGCCTACTGGTAGGCTCAGTAGGCTGTTATAATCAATCCACATTGTTAATCAGCTACAGATCACACATGCGGCTGGCAGTTAACGAGAATTATTTATATAATAATATTTTAATATATAATTATATACAAGTTGCTAAGCACTATATATTGTGTCATGTGTTCAAGATTTGAACATGCATCTCCTCAATGAGCGCCACAGGTTATTGTGAAACTTTTGTGCAAACCAAAATCCTTGTTTCTGTTGTTTTCATAAATGCATATTAAATATAACTAGACTAGCTGCCTCTACAGTTCAAGGCTTTTGTGGATGGTTACAAGGTTGTCATTTTTATGGTATTTACTGTTTCTTTTTACCATGTTACAAAGTGATTGCTCTTTTAATAACTTCAGTTATTTTTGTGAGAAATGATACAAACAACTTCAGTGGCATTCAGCAGTTTAAGCCTTAAAAAAACTATATGGAAAATTATTATATATTAATCACATTAAACGTTCAAGTTGCTGTTGAGTGTAGTTCACTGAATGACCACTAATATTGACCTTAAAATTGTTTAATTTTACGTATTGTCCCTATTAACCATATTTTCTCACATATCTGCTCGGGTAGCCTAATGGTAAGTGTGCCGACAGATTACTAGCGGGCAAAACCATTGGAAACGTCTTGGCTTGAGACTTTTGGTCTCATTCACCAATAAATGTTTTTTTGCTATACAAAACAGCTTTGTCAGCTATGCTATGCATTGCCATAAACACAACTGATGGTAGAGCAAGTATTGCTATTGTCGATTGTCATTTTGGACACTGACATAGTTATTGCCTTATTTAGCATCATGAAGTTAAAGTGAAGTAAGACTGTGGTTTTACCCATACTCGAATGTGGTTCTCTGTCCAAGTGTGCACACATGTTTTGAGTGGGGAGTGAGAGCACACGCACACAGTGAGCATACACCCTGAGCAGTGGGCAGCTATTACTTTCAGCACCCGGGTAGCAATTAGGAGTTATGTACCTTGCTCAGGGGCATCTCATCTGGGTGTCGAAGAGTGTGGTTTGTTCACTTCCTCATTCCAGGACCAGGAATCAAACTTGCAACCTTTCGAATTCAAGTCCAACTCTCAAACCATTAGGCCACAACTGGAATTTAAAATAACGGAATTTTCTGTGTTGTCTATAGGATACGGCGGGACAGGAGCGGTATAGAACTATTACCACAGCTTACTATAGAGGAGCCATGGGCTTCATCCTCATGTATGACATCACTAATGAGGAGTCCTATAATGCGGTGCAGGACTGGTAAGCTGCTTGGGTAAACAATCTTTCAGTTTTTATCCATAAAGAATGTATGCCAATCATGACTTGCTTTTCAGGGCAACACAAATTAAGACTTATTCATGGGATAACGCTCAGGTGATACTAGTGGGAAACAAATGTGACATGGATGAGGAGAGGGTGGTGCCTTTTGAGAAGGGAAAACACTTGGCTGACCAGTTAGGTAAGTTATGTGGCCATTCTTAAGTCTAATTCATTGGATTGTGATCTGATTCCTTGAATTGCTCTCACAGGGTTTGAGTACTATGAAGCCAGCGCCAAAGAGAACATCAACGTCAGACAAGTATTTGAACGCTTAGTCGACATTATCTGCGTGAAGATGTCAGAGAGAGTTGATGTGGAACCACCCATGGTCACTGGTGCCAAAACCACCCGGCTAACCGATAAGCCACCCCAACTACCTCAGAATTGTTGCTGATTTTGATCTCTACTTATGCCAACCTTTTAGCAGCAGATCAAATGTTGTTTGGTTTGATGTTATGTTGTAAGGCAATCAGAACCAACCTGAGGTGTGTTTCCTGTACTAAGCATAACTTGGTGGTTAACCACTATACTGCGATGCATCGTTAGCTAGTTTCCTGAAACTGCAGTAATATGTTTTTATTTTTTGTTATAGCTTTAAACTAGCGTACCATATTGTACCATGTCTTTAGCCCCTTTCACACAGTTACACTGTTAATGGCCATAAAATTACCGAAATGACTTTACCTTTACATTCAAATACTCGCTGTTCACACACAGCAGAATTGCAGAAATTTACTAGTAATGTTAAATCTTTTCATCCTAGAAAATTGTCAGAACTGAATTTCTGATATTTGTTAACAAAGGGCCTGTTTGCATATGATCAATTTACCAATAATTTTGTGGAAGTGTCTGTATGTGTAAAAGGGGCTACTTCCATATCATACCTTCCTCCTTCTCGTCTATGTCTTTCACACCTCTATTACTTTATCGCACCTCCACCATTGACAACTTTCTTTCTTGACAAACCTTTTTGTTTTTGTTGGGACGGAATGGTTGTCCTACCTCCAACATTGTAGCACCTCCTTCTTGGACATTTCTCTGTGTGAGCTGACCAACTGGAAGTACATCAACTCTGTTCATTGTTGCACATTCTTTCTTGACATCCAACTCTATCATTGATGTGCCTCCTTCTTTTGACCTGCCTCTATTGTTTTGAATCTTCATCAGTGCTGTACATCCTTTGCTGGTGCACATCCATGCATCATCGTTGTATCTACAACATATCCGTCTTTGTCACACCTCCAGCATCTCCATTGTTGTTTCACCTACTTCCATCACTTCTCAGTCATTGGTGCACCCCCTTTTATTGTTCTTTCATTGTTCACCCAAGGATGTGGTAGGTCAGGGGGACAGAGTTCATGGAGCCCAGAAGCTTGAAGAGATCCACAGTGAAGTCTGGTCGGGCCCAAATTGCAATTTTGAGGGGGACACTATCACCCCAGCTTCCACCCCCACCTGTCAAATGTTTTGTCACACATCCTTGTTGTTGTCATCTCCATTGTTTTTGGGTTGCACCTATGCTCCAACAATGTTGTACCTTTTTAGTTAACAGCCCTAAGAGGTGTGGTACTTGCAGGGGAAAGAGTCACAGAGTTCATAGGACACAGAGTCTTGAAGAGGTCCCTAGGAAGGTGGGTCTCGAATTGCAATTTTAAGGGGAGACTAAACCTGCCTCCCTCCACCTCAACCTGTCATTTTTTTTTGTCACACATCCTTGTCTCATCTTTGCCTTTGTCACCTCTTTCATTGTTGGTTTGGACTTTTGCACCAGCAATGTCGTACCTTTGTTGTTAACACTTCCAGGGGCGTAGTACTTAAGGGAAAGGGGGACTCAGGCCGTACTCACACTATGTACAGTTGCCTTGAACCGGGCCAAAGCAAGCTTGTCCCCCTCCTGTCTCCCCCGATGGCCTGCACTCACATTACAATTGGGCCTGGGCACACTAACGTCATTGATGCTGGGCTGTTCAGTAAGCGCTCTCATTCAGCACAGTGGAGATTTCTCTAGTTATATCGCTTTAGTCCTTAGGGAATCGGTGACACGCAGTCGGATATTTCACAGAACAGATCAGCCACTTTTGACGCTCATAAACAATCATAAAGTTTTGCACTCACACACAAGCGTACTATGCCAAAGCCCAATTGAACAGCGTTCAGCGCACTCACACTTCTCAAACGATCCGGGAAACAGTAGGCCCTAAGTAGTCCATAGGGTCTAGAGGCTTGATGGGGTCCACAGTAAAGTCTGGGGAAACTAGAACATGATATTTACCCACCACCAAAGCATTTTCCCAAGCAAAATCCTGTGCACAGTGTTACGCATTCCTAGCAACTCCACTGGATGTATCTGTCTGTCTTTGTCACAACGCTTTTATTGTCATCATTTTGTCCTTGTTGCACCTTCGCCATTGTATAATGTCTATCGACGTTTGACCACCATTATTTTCGCACCCCCATTATTATGGACAGAAAGTACATATGGAACTGAGAGACCCACTGAGGGAACCCCCCCACCCCCACCCCCCCAAAAAAAAGTAGAGCTATATATTTAAAGGTGCTTTCACACTTGCACACACCCGGGTTCGCTTGACGTCAGAGTACGGTACTTTTAGCTAGTGTGAACACTGTCTTCTGAACTCTGGTGTGCACCCATAAACTGTACCCGAGTCCACCTGAAAGAGGTGGTCTGGGGTATGGTTTGTGCAAACTCTAGTACGGTTTATTTCTGTTATGAATGCAATCGTACCAAATGATGGAGGTCAACCGCCAACTATACAACAAACTTTAGTTTTCATAACGTTCATTCGTGTGTGTATGTTTTGCATCACCTATCTTGGTGACAAGCAGGACTGACCCAGTGCAAACAGTGATAATGTCTGCTTGTCCCCACCAAAACAACTTGTACAGACATCGCGTGATGTTCTGAAAGTTGTTAATATTGTTTTGCAGCAGATAGATGCCAGTGGCTCTCTGCATTTTGTTTTTGTATTTTTCAAAACTAAAAGATTCAGCAAAGGCAGAAGGTGTACATCATCGTTTTGTCGTTTGCCTTTCATGGCCATCACCTTGCAACAGCTGTACACAAAAGAGCCACTTGATGACGCAAGCGTACTGGGTTCAGAGGGAAAAAAGAGTGTGAAAGCACCCTAAATGTCAAGAAGTTCTTCAAACAACAGGTTCCAGCTACCCAGTTCGCATTGCTCGTGAATGAAACTATAGTTTCATGAAACACCAAATCATTGGACTGTGTTCATAATGACAGAACTTATTTTTAGCTAACGATGCTTTCAGGAAACACACCCCTGTTTGTTTGTAGCTGTCACGCGTGTAGTTCAGTAATAATAGTAGACTTTTAACCTAATCAGTCCATAGAAAACTCAACGCAGGGACTAGAGCAAAGCACAAAATCTACTACTTGGCTCTCAGAACTTCAGTGTTCACTGCCGAAACTAGATCTGTTGTGGCACAATCTTGCTAATCTAATATATTTAATGTAGTATATAAATACTTTAATGGAGGTGAAATAGTGGATATTCTGTTAAAAGGCACAAAAACAAACTCAGACTTTTGCAAAATTGCCATTATGCAAAAATTCGAGTTTTCAGGGTGGTTTCGATGCTCTGATTGGGATTCGGATCAGAAGCAGATGCACAATGTATGTTGGACTCCATCTATTTTGGGAACGTTTTGAGAATATGAGCACTTGTTTTGAGCTAGCTTTATGTTAAGAGAGGAAAAATGTGACATTTAGTAAATTAGCAAATTAAAAAAACAACATTATTAAACTCGTGTTGAACTTAGTATTGCCAGAAACCACATGTAACAGTTGTGTGTAATAATAGACTGAACACAATCAGCACATTTCATAGTCAGGTGACGTTCGGTTTGTTACGAAAGTTATAATTATGCTTCAAATCCTCAAGCAGAAGGTTAAGATATATTGTGAATTCGTGCCAGGGTGTCTTTATATTTCAGAAAATTGTAGCAAATCCCTGTTGGTTCGTGTATGTATAATCTACTTTGGATTTTTATCAAGTGACGTATGAGTGTTTTATGTAACTATAATCAAAATTATTGCAAATGAGATATTTTTCATTCCGATGTTTTAGGCAATTTTTTGGTTTCATCAGTAGATCTTTATTTTTATGCTGCTGGAATATATAGGTGTAAGTTTGCTGTCAGTGTATTTTGATTTGTAGACAATATGCACTGGGGCGTACAGTGATTGTACAGTTGTGAATGTTACTTTTAGATGCAATTTGTAACAATAAAAGCACAAATCACATAATAATACTAATATGTATGTGACAAGCTTGTTATTGTGTACTGAATAGTAGCCAGAATAATGATGATTTATGGGTCAAAGATAAAGTATCTGTTACGCTGAATAATAATAGATAAATTAATACTATTAATGTAATAATAATAATAGATAATAATATTCATTCATTCATTTTATTTTCGGCTTAGTCCCTTTATTAATCCAGGTTCGCCACAGCGGAATGAACCGCCAACTTATCCAGCACGTTTTTACGCAGCGGATGCCCTTCCAGCTGCAACCCATCTCTGGGAAACATCCACACACACACACACACACACACACACACACACACACACACACACACACACTCATACACTATGGACAATTTAGCCTACCCAATTCACCTGTAGTGCATGTCCTTGGACTGTGGGGGAAACCAAAGCACCCGGAGGAAATTCACGCAAATGCAGAGAGAACATGCAAACTCCACACAGAAACGCCAACTGAGCCGAGGCTCGAACCAATGACCCAGCGACCTTCTGCGCCACTGCGTCACCTGATAATAATATTTAATAAATTTAAATATTTATTTATGTATTATTTATAATATATCAATATAATATTTTTATATTTCTTTTTGTATAAGTTTGTTTTGGTTATTACTAATTTGGTCATGAAATATATTAACTTAGACAATAATTGGAAGAACTACAAAATACAGGAATAAATTAATTTAACGTGTTTTAATGATGATAATAACTGAAAATAACATTATTATTTTAATTAAATGTCTATAATTTTAAGCCACATTAAAAAGCATTTGTAACCATTTATTTAAAATTTGATAGTAATATATTTAATAAATTAAGTATAAATAATTTTAAATAATTTAACCTATAGTATTTAATTAAATGTATTGATGTTAATTGTGATATATAAGCATATAAAATCATTAAAAAAATAAAGTAAAACATAAAAAAATACAACACTAATTAACATGCATTTATTTTGTATGGTTATCTAGCAAATCATTTACATCATTTTCTTTTCAGCTTAGTCCCTTTATTAAGCTGGAGATGCTACGGCAGAATGAACCGCCAACTTATCCAGCATATGCTTTATGCAGCGCATGCCCTTCCAGCTGCAACACATCACTGGGAAACACCCATACACACTCATTCACACACATACACTACGGACAATTTAGCTTACCCAATTCACCTGTACCGCATGTTTTTTGACTTGAGAGGGAAACCGGAGCACCCGGAGGAAACCCACACGAATACGGGGAGAACATGCAAACTCCACACAGAAATGCCAAATGACCCAGCCGAGCTTAAACCAACGACCTTCTTGCTGTGAGGCGACAGCGCTACCCACTGTGCCACTGCGCCGTCGCTTCATTCACATTATTAAAATATAATTCTAATATAAATTTATAAAAATACGTGAATATAATGCATGATTTTAGTTTTCTTTTCAATTAGCGAAAATGGTTTAAATCATTAATAAAAATCACATACCTTACCCGGAGAGTGGAAGAACCAGTTCAAGCTGTTCCTAAAGTCAACGCTTATCCTTCATTTGTTCCAGCGCCGGGAATCTCAACCAATCATGTTGATTCTTGTTTTTTATGCCAAGTTGAATCAGCCAATGAGATTATAGTGTGTTAGCTGTGGTCAACATAAGCGTTACCGTCGGTGTGACATCCGTAATCCCGACAGAAACAAGAACAGAGGTATGTGTCTTAACTGTTTGCAGATTATTAAATCATTTATTAACTGTTTTACTGTTTCTGTTTTGAGAGGAATTAACGTTACGTTACAAGAGTTTTGAGGGCGTGACGTGAATTTGTGACAGCTGTCAATCATGCTAAATCTCCTTTAGCGCTGTTTGGGACTCTGTTTGAACAGGTTTGAGTTAAAAATGCCGCAAATGAGTAAAGCTAAAAGTTGTGGATGTAACGTTACCTGTGAAGTGTCCGGACCAGACAGCGGAGAACCTCCACCTGCTGTAACTGAACCGCAAGAGTCTGATGCCGCAGATTCAAACACCATCATCAAATCACCAAACGACTACAAAACATACAGGTCAGCAGCAGACAAACTTGTGAATATCATAAAAATAACCAGCGCTGTTACTTTAAGTTCTGGTGAAAGTTTATATAAAATGTCAAATATAAGTTAATAAAAATATTTCATTTGATGTCATAAATTTAAAGCTATCATGTTATTGCTATTAGTAAAAGTATAGTAGAAGTATTCATTCATTCATTTTCTTTTCGGCTTGGTCCCTTTATTAATCTGGGGTCGTCACAGCAGAATGAACCGCCAACTTATCAAGCACATGTTTTACACAGCGCATGCCCTTCAAGCTGCAATCCATCACTGGGAAACACCCATACACACTCATAAGCACACATACACTACAGACAATTATCTTACCCAATTCACCTGTACCACATCTCTTTGGACTGTGGGGGAAACCGGAGCACCCAGAGGAAACCCACGCAAATGCAGGGAGAACATGCTAACTCAACACAGAAACAGCAACTGACCCAGCCGAGGTTCGAACCAGCAATCTTCTTGCTTTGAGGCGACAGCACTGCCTACTGTGCACTGCGTCGCACTATATTGTGAATGTTTTTTTATTATTTAGAAGTGTTTTATAAGAACAAAACAGCACAAAAACATTTATACAGTCTATAATACTTTTTCTACAAATGATAAGGAAAAAATACATAAAATAAGTAAATTAATAAAACAAACAAAAAACAAAGTGATAATAGTGGTAATAAACACAAAAACAAAACAAAGCAAAAAACAAGCACCGATCCATCCAAACATGCACCAGATAATATACACCATTAAGTTTTACTTGATCAAATTCAAGGCATTGAAACAGAGTGGAAAATAAGAGTAAAATCATCCATGAATCATTAGTGTCCTATTTTCAACTCTTAAAAAGATAAGCAAGGAAGGCCCAAGATTTTTTCATACTTTTTAAAAGCATTTGTCCTAACAATACGAATTCTTTCAAACTTAAGAGCAGCAACCATTTTAGTCAGCCATTTATGAAAAGCAGGTGGAAAAGTGGACTTCCAATTCATCAAGATCACCCTTTTAGCCACCACCATACCAAACTATTGTGTAATTAAATATATAAAATTGCTTATACTATGAATGTATACTGTATAAAACTATTTTTCATAAAACAATTTGATAAAGTATTAATTCATAGTTTTTATAGTTTTGTATGGTATACATTAAATATTTACTTTTATTTATATTATTTATTTATAATACATAAAATAAATTATAATAAAATAATTTTAGATGGTATTAATTCATAATATAAATAATTTCATATGGTAGCACTAAAATATATAATATTATTTATATTCATTTATGCTATATAAAATATTTTTATAAAATAATTTGATATAGTATAAATTCATAATATAAATAATTGTATAAAGTATAAATTCAATATCTGCAATTATTTATATTATAATTTATACTATGTAAAGCTTATTAATCAAATATAATAAAATGTATTATTATTGTTTGCATACATATTTTTAATTTAAATAGTAAACAATAATTTTAAATAATAATTTATATTTCTTTTAATAATATGTATATTATTTTGAGATAAATCCAATTTTTATTAGTAGTATTATTAAAAGGACATTTTGATACATTTTATAATGCATTTTAGTAACCATGTTCTATTTATAAATAAATAAATATTTGTTTATAATGGTTTATAATTGGTTGATAATAATAGTCAGAATAATAATGGTGACATAGAAAAGGATAGGACCAAGCATTAATAAAAAAAATAATAATAATCTTGAGATTATTGTCATAATAATATGAGATTAAACTCATTACATTTCTAGATAAAAAACTTGAAATAAAGTGTTGAGAATCAACTCTTTACATTTTGAGAATAAAGTTGTGTTTTGAGAAAGAAACATTTATTAATAAGAATGATAGTAATAATAGTAATATTAATAATAATAATAACAATAATGATAAAAAAAAAAAATCATACCCAAACTTTTTCAGGTATATTGAGCTGAGCAATGGACTCAAGGCGCTGCTCATATCAGATGTTTCCAGCCAATCAGAGAGCTGCAGAGAGTCAGTGGATAAAGAGGTGGAAGAGGAAGGTGACAGAGGATCTGCCAGTGACATCAGTAAACACAGTGAAAGAGGGAAACAGAGCTGTCGTTCAGAGAAGCAGGTGACTTCCTTTACAGTTCATTTTTAATTTGTAAATAAATATACTGTATTATAGCAAATATTGGGTATTGATGTCAGTCTGCAGCTGCACTCTGTATCAGTGTGGGAAGCTTCAGTGACCCTGCAGATCTTCCTGGACTCGCACATTTTCTCGAACACAGTGCGTTGATGCTTTCTTCTATTTATTTATTATTTTGATTTGTTTATTTTTACTGAATAAAATGATGTTTATTTTTAATTTAGGCTTTAACTTAAAATATAACTTATTTAATTAAAATATTCAAATAAAATTTAAATTGAATTGTGTGTGTATACAGTTAAGGTCAGAATTATTAACCCCCCTGAATAATTACCGCCCCTGTTTATAGTATGTATATAATAATTTAACTTTTTTACTTATTCATATTTCTCTTTTCACATCTTAGTGGTCTTCATGGGCAGTGAAAAGTACCCAGTTGAAAATGGCTTTGATGCTTTCTTAAAAAAACATGGAGGAAGTGACAACGCTTCCACGGACTGTGAGCGAACCATCTTCCAGTTTGATGTTCAGAGGAAATACCTCAGAGAAGCTCTGGATCGGTGAACAAATCTCCAAAAATTGGTTTTAGTACTTTAAAGTCGGCATTAAATCAAAATGTACTTTTTTTATATGTATCTAGTAGTGCTTTTTATAAACAATGCATCTGTGCACTTTATTATTTTGTAAAAATGGATAATCTTTTATCAAATACCACACCTTTCCTTGTTCCCTCAAAACAACTTTACTTCTGGTCACATGGAATGCTT